TGGGAGGAGACTGCAGTCACATGGTTAGGCATACAAAATAAAGCGTCGTGCAGCTGCATGAGAGCCGGTCTAGGGATCTGCTGCGGCCACACCTACCTTTCTCTTACCGTGTTCCCCTCCTTCTCTTCTGATTCTTTTTTCTCGTATCTATCATATCCCACGTTCTGTCTACTCTCTTCTCTATCCCACTTGTTCATCTCCAAGCTACAAAACCTAACTTTACATATCTTTCATATATTATCTCAAAATATAAGTTTTAGTGTTGGTCTTTCAGTAAATTTGTAATAACTATAATTCAGGAAAAAATGATGGTGGGTGTATGAAGGAAGGTTAAAAAATAATTTATCCGCAAAAGTTTAGATTATTGTTACTCAAATTTGCGGTAAAATATGTTTGAGTAGTAAGAGTTTGAGGATATATGATCTACTAAAAAATAGTTTTCAATATTGCAAAACGAAGTAAAAACATGAAAATGTCGAACAATTCACAAAGTGTTTTTATTTTGTTTTCTGAATAATGCATTAGATAACCAAAAAATATATTCCAAGAATCGAAAATGAATGTTTGGGGTCTACAAACGGTGGCATTCGGACATAACTATCATGTGAGTTGGAATTTCTAAATTAGTTTCCGACTGCTACTATTGTTTTAAATAGTGTAATTCCAATACACACACCGAGTGATCAAAATCAAGAGGCTAAAATTATTGGTGTGTCTATATATTCATACTTTTTTATCATTGAATCCCTTACTAACTTTTTACTGTGTAAAGGACAGATATATTTGCCCACATTGTCGCAAGTCAATACTTCTTCACATGGTATAATAATAGTATCTCTACCATGATTGGTTTTTTATTGCTCCATGAGAAAAATAGTTTAAATATAGAGTTAAAATAGTAGCTAAAAAAACAAAACACTGTTTATAAAATCAGTTTGTGACTTTGTGTTTGTGTGTGTGTGTTCGAGGTCGTTGGTCCAAAAGGTTGCTTTCGGAGATCGAAGACAAGGGTTTAGCTACAAAGAGGAGATCTTTTAGAAAAAAGAAAGAAAATATAATACATTTGTCCGAATCGAAGTGATGTGAAGGTGACCATGTTCCTTATTAATTCATGGTTTTGTCTTGTCGAGATTCAAGCGCGGGGCTCTATATCTACTAACGTATATGGGACTAGTCACTTCTCAGTCACGAACTTGGATTTTCTCTTTGTCGTTCGTTCATTTAATTTGGTCAATTTTTTTCTTTAGATTTTCTTCTATTATATTATTGTTCTTGGATTGACCCATTAAAAATTAATATACAAGTTTGCATGCTAACTATACAAGTTTATGCATGTAGTGGACATTTTTATAACGGTAAACAATATGTACTATATATTTTTTATATTAGCAAATTCAACCTGGTTAAAACAATAATAAAAACAACCTCTAGCGGTATGATAGTAAATCAAATAGAAATTAATTGTATTTGGCTATATTTAAAAAAGTTGTTGGATTTTTTTTCTTCAAATATTGGTTTATAAGTAGTGTTTGTAATAATATTATTTTTGAAATATAGTCAACTTATACAGCACAAAATTTTAGAATACATTCCACTAAGTGGGGGGGGGGGGGGGGGGGGGGGGGTTGAACCTGAATTATAGATA